AAGCACCTTGTTTTCTTTTAATGCTGGGAAGAGTCTTGTAACTTAAAGATGACTAAAAAGATTGAAATTGTTCTTTACAGCACTACCTTTTGGCTTAGAGTTTGAGCCATGGGCTGATGCACAATTTGTGTTTATCAAAACTGTGCAAGCTGTGCCTGGAACAGAGCAAGTACCTCAAGTCAGAGGTCTTGAGGTTTTGCAGGTTAGAAACAACTTACAGCAATTTTTTAATCATTACAGCAATCCCAGGACAAATTAAGAATCTAGTCATGGAAGAAATCTTCAATTGTCTCACTGTTTCCTTGTCTTTTTCTTTGCTTTTATTAGCAGTACCTTTCTTATTATTACATTACACTTTTTTTGGAACAAGCATTGCATTTTGTTTAGTGCAGCTCTTCCCAGGAGGGGCACAGGGTAACGTGCAGTGCTGGAAATGTCAGAAGCTATCTAGGAAAGGGAAAGCTGGGCCAGCCTGGCAGCTGAGCAGTGACACTTCTCAGTGTCCCAGGGGAAACCCTGAAAACACTCCTGTAACCAAAGGAGCTCATTTTGTGTAATGCACTTCAGGCAGCACCTGCTGAAACACTAAGCTGGCCAGCACTGGGTTGAGGCGACGCTGCAGAACTGAGCAACAGACAAAAGGTCTTGAGTCAATGATTCCCTATTCCTAACCATCTGAAAAGGCAACAGAAGCGATGAGACCAGCGACAGGTCGAGTCACTCGCCTATAGTCACAGAACGTCCTTTTCTTCCTCGTTTGCCACAGTTTGATAGTTCCTCTTTAGACGACTACAAAATTACTGAAGTGTTAAACAAGGGCAAAGTCATCCTTTTTAAGGAAGGATATGCAAATCTGCTAAAGAGCATTCAGCTAGAGGGTCCGGAATAATTTCTGAGAACCACGATTCAGTGTGAGGAGAAGCAGCAATTGCCTGATGCTGGAGCTAGGGGTGCAGGCTAATTGCTCTGCCACCTCTTGGAAATTGTGTCATATGTCCTTGCTTTATGGTGTAAAGAGGGCTATTGTTACAGTATACTCACAGCTGCAGCTGTGTACATCCACACACTATGTCAATAAGTAATTTCTTCTGTGTCCTTCCCCTTTTCACACAAGCCAGTGCATTCACAGAGCTGCGATACTGCCTCCTTTGATTTATGCCCAACGAGACAGAGACAAGGCTCTGGACATTCATGTGCTAAGCCCTAAATGAATGAAGGTGAGGGATTTTGGCTCAGTATGGACTGGCTGCACCTGCTGAGCATGAAAGCTAGAAGAAGAGAGGACAGGAAGGGAAACAAAAGCAACCTGGGGTTTTCTTAGGGTGGGAGCTGAACTTGGGCCCTTTTTCTAGCACAGCCCCGTTGAAGACAGGTTGTCCCTTGTTTAACCCACTGCCTGGGGACTGTGCACCTCATTGCCAAACAGTACAGCAGCTTCCTTGGGGGCTGAGAAGGACTTGTGCTGCCAGCAGCACGATGATCTGACACATGGCCGTCACCAGCGCATTCCCACCACAGTGTTCTTCTGAGACAGGGAAGTGCAATTCATTTTGCAGATGAGGAACTTGCAGCCAGAGTCCGGCTGGCTTTATGGAGGTGACAGGAAACCAAACCAAGCCTCCTAAATCTCAAGTTTGCCCCGTAACCCCTGGAACATCCTTCCTCTTGTCGGGTGCTGTCCTGTGGGTCTGAGGGATTTGGACATCAGCACAACACCAAGCTCTTATCTAGCAAGAGAAGGGGCCTCAATGAACAAGAAGGTGTCAGCCTCCTTTGAAGTGATTAAACAAGACAAAAACCAGTCTGGTCATTCCTTTAATGGTCTTGCTATTGAAGCTGTCCACTAAATCCTACCACCATGCATAAATGAGTGCTTCAAAGAGCCCTAGGTGTCCTAAGTTTAATTTGTCACTTAAAAAGTGAGCAAAGCACACAAGTTTTCCTAAATTTCTAAGAAAACAGTCAGCTTTCCTGCTTGATTAACACTACCTGAGAATAAGTATATCTGACAGGGGAAGAGTCCAGAGGGAAAAAAGACAAACCTCTTCTGGGCTTGGTGGATCCGGTTTGGTAAAGCATGCCAACACCTGCTTACCTTTAAGCACAAGAGTATCACCATTGACTTCTTTGGAAAAACAGGCATGCTCATGTCAAGGTTTGCAGGAGGACTGTGCTTTGGTGTCAAGCTGCAGGCAGCCCTTTCAGCTTCTTTTTCTTCCCCCCTCCATTTGTCGAAAAGGACGCTAAGCAAGAGTGTGCTTGTGGGGTCAGAGAGCTTTGATGACTCAGAGCTATAAAGCACGACTCTGTTACTCAGCCCTTGAAAAAACACACACACAGGTGCTTCTGAAGGGGGAACCAGCAACCTTCAGATTCCTGTTCTCAGGCTTAAGGAAATATTTATTCTTGGTGCCGTTGAGCAATCAGATGGCAGCAGAAGCTGTGTGTCATGGATGCTAAAATTACTTTCTTGCTCAGATGAATATTCAGACAGACACTTCAGAGAAGATAGAGTTGCATGGGCCTCTTTCCTTTAAAAGAAAAAATCTGGAAGAACAAACCCGGGGGTTTCCGCAGACTTTTTCCCATGTCACTTCTGGACAAGAACCTGAGGCCGCAATGGGGATTGCTCATTAGTGATAATCTTAGTTTTGCAAAAATTGAAATGTAAAGGGACACGTCAAGGGGTAACTATCTTAAGGTGACACCTTGCTCAGTTTAGTTGTTTCTGGAGAGCATTCAAGTCATCTGTCATCATTTCACTGAGCAAAGGACTTTTTTTTTTTTCTCAATTAAGTATTGAAGACCCAAAGTTCCTTATGGGAGAGCCAACTAGTGTGTCCTGCCTTGCACACCACATGCTCTTTGTACTTCGGAGCCTGATTTTTTTTCAAACCACTTGCTTTTGAGGCCCTTAGCCTTGTCTGCTGCAGAAATACCATGTTTCTGTGGATCTGGGGCTTTGTCTTCATCAAGAGGACTGAGTTTTGACCAACATTTCCTGATCTGAAGTACCTCCTGCAAAGCACATCACCCTGGTATCAAGCTAGGATGGCTTCTGTGGTCATCTGCTGCTTTTTCTCCTTCAGAAATGAGCCACTCCCTCTCCTCTCACACCAATTGTGTGCACGTGGCCCTCCAGCTTTCTACCCAATTTGGGTGAGTGGTATCACCAAGCAAAAACCAGATTTCTTCAGCTCGTTGCCAGCTTCAGAGGATTGTCTAAAAATTATTTAAGAATAAGAAAAGATTCTGGCTCTTGATGGGCACTGCTCTGTGGCCAGTGCTCTCAGACACTCTACTGAGGCATATAATAGTAACGAACAACTCTGGAAACATTTGCAACTGTGAGTTTTTAAGGAGAAAGAGCAGTCTTATGTTAAAGACTTCATCATAATCACATGGATGCCAAACGCAACAGCACCTTCATAGACAGTCTTCACTGCTGATAAAAATTCAGCCAAAGCACCACACCAGTCACAGCTTTGCAATTCCAGTTATTCGCTTGCAGGTCTGTAATCCATGGCAAAAATCTTAGATTGTGAATGAAATGCTTTTGGTGATGTCAACTTTCCAGTGACCAGTAAACCACATCACAGAACTAACACCACGTGGTCAAACATAGCCGGGAAATG